TCCTCAATGTAATCACAGGGGCCTTAAAAGTGGAAGGGAAAGGCAGAAGAGGAAATCAAATTGATATGAAGTGACAACTGGATCTGTTGTTGCTGGCTTTCAAAATGGAGAAATAAGGCCACGAACCAAGGAATGAGGGTGGATTCTAGAAACTGGAAAGGGCAAGCAAATAGCTTATCCCCTAGAGCTTCCATAATGGAATGCAACCCTGATGACAGCTTGCTTTTAGCCCAGTGAGACCCATTTTGGACTTCTGATCTCCACAACCACAATAATTTGTCTTCTTTTATGCATCTAAGTTTGTGGTAATTTGTTACAGCAAATGGTGCTGATATGGTGTTATTCGGCAAAGAACTGAATGACAGACATGAAAATACTCTGAGGGCCGGGATTACGTCTTATTCATCTTTGCTTCTGTGCCAGGGTCTAGTCCGTATAATATTAAAAAAACAAAAACATTACCATTGAGTCAATTCCAACTCATAATGACTCTATAGAAGAGAGCAGAACTGCCCCACAGGGTTTCCAAGGCTGTAATCTTTAAGGAAGCAGACTGCCACATCTTTCTCCTGCAGAATGGCTGGTGGGTTCAAACTCCTGACCTTTTGTTTAGCAGCCAAGCTCTTAACCTCTGCGCCACCAGGGCTCCTCCTTATAGTGTAGAGCAGGGAAATTCTTTAACACCAGAACAAAAGGCCACATTGGCAGGGGCAGCAGTTCCTATGCCATGCAAGTATAAATAATGTATGTAATCCCATGACTACTGGTTAGCATCAGCTACCTGCCTAATCTTACTTCAGAGTTCTTTGTGTTCTTGCTATACACAGTTATCACATAACTCTTTCAGCTTAGAGCTTTTTTGGGGTGCTATGTGCCATCTTTCACCCCAGGCTAATTTAAGACACTTTCATCAGCAAATCTTGCAGGCTAGGGACTTGAATTTTTTATTTGCACCAAAATTTGTAGTAAGTGTATCAGATTTTAGAAGTTTCTCCCCCCTGTAAAGTTCTGTATAATTTGAAGGCTTGTAAATCTAATCATCTATCAATGAATTGGGGTATTTGGCTAAGACCAGGACGCTATGATAAATTGTATTGTAAAGCTGTTGTTGTTTGCTGTCGAGTTGATTCTGATCAAAGAAACCCTATAAGACAGAACAGAACTTTCCCATAAGGTTTCCTAGGCTGTAATCTTTATGGGAGCAGATAGCCCAGCCTTTTCTCCTGTGGAGCGGCTTGTGGGTTCCGTCTGCCAACCTTTTGGCTAGTAGCAGAGCACTTAACCGTTGTACCACCAGGGCTCCTTACTGTAGAGCTAATAACTGTGATTTCTTTCCTCTAGCAAATCCCTGATAGTTGTTATTAGGTATCCAGTTATCATTTTGGGGTAACTCTCAATGTTCATATTTTGTATTTGATGAAACTGAGAATTCGCTTGTGTCCTGATGAGGGTAGGGGCAGGTGTTTATGCGCTTGTGTATAGCTCTTCTGCTTTCAGGAACAAAGATCTTGCTGACAGAGCATAATATCTCGAGGCTTTGGGGATTTGTTTTCAAGCACACTTTCTGTCTTATATTATGTTTCCTTGTCCTAACTCACTTCCTCCCTCTCCTTCCTTCTTAACTCTGAAAATGTTGACACAACTTTTTCCTTTGTTTCTTATAAGAAGCTGGGTTATATTCATTTCTGATCTATCTCCAGCCACTCTCATGGAAGGCTTGTCGTGCTTGATCTGACCCTTGGCAGGATTCCAAAATCAAACGACTGTAACAGAGGGGTTCTCTGTGTTCTTGAGTTGATCTCAGCTGTAAGGTCAGAACTTGGGGACTCCTCATTTACATGGAGCTCCTTTTGTTCTGTCACACCAAGTCCTTTCCCAGTTTTGGCATTACCTTTGCAAAATGCAACCTAGACAGTCATCATTGTAATGCATAGTCACATGCCTAAAATTTCTCTAGACTGTGTGCTTTGCAACCATTCTCTTTGTGTGTGGGGGGTAAAATATATATAACAAAGCATTTGTCATTTCAACCATTTTTGCATGTACAGTTCAGTAACATTAATTAGGTTCACCATGTTGTGCATAAGGTTTTCATTGGCTAATTCTCTTCAGAAGTAGACTGCCAGGTCCTTTTGCCTAGTCGGTCTTAGTCTGGAAGCTCAGCTGAAACCTGTCCACCATGGGTGACCCTGCTGGTATCTGAATACCCGTGGCACAGCTTCCAGCATCACAGCAGCACACAAGCCCCCACAGTATAAGAAACTAATAGATGCATGGGTACAGTAGAGGGTCAGTGAAAAAGAAGACCCTCAACGAGATGGACTGACACACTGGCTGCAACAATGGGCTCAAGCATAACAATGATTATGAGGACGGCGCAGAAACAGGCAGTGTTTTCTTTCTGTTGTGCATAGGGTCACTATGGGTCGAAACTGACTTGATGGCACCTAGCAACAATAACAATATGTTGTGCAACCATCACTACTATCTAGTTCCAATTTTTTTCATCACCCTTAACAGAAACTCAGTGCCCCTTAAGCAATGACTCCCCCTTTCCTCTTCCCTCCCCACCCCTGGCAACCACTAATAAACTTTGGTCTCTATGCATTACCTATTCTAGGTATTTCATGTAAGTGGGATCATACTTTGCAAGCATTCTTGTTGGATATCTTTTCTAGCTATCTAATCTGGTGAGCATGCTGCTGGTGGTAACTGTCTTTTGCTTGCTTGTTTGCTTTCAATGGCACGGAGGGAAATCAGATAGCTTAGGTGCATGGTCAAAGGGCAGCTACAAGGCAGAGTGCTCTGGGAAAGGTGAAAGCTCAGAGAAGGCCATGCTGTTCACTCTTCAGAACTCCCAGGACTCAAGATCATGCTCAGGCTGTGCACTCTGTTAGCTCACCAGCTTTCCTCGTGATCTGGGTTGGCTGCTTTCCAACAGGACAGGTTGACATATGATGCTAAAAAACACAGGTGCCTTGGGGCTTCTTCAGTTAAAATTTAGTGCCAGCTACTTTTAAATAGCAGGAAAGAGATTGGTTTGGGAGAAACTGTACACTGTTTTCTCATTCTGATATTCCTATAGTCTGGGAACTATGTGTAGAGAGGAGGGACAAGAAGGAGGCAAGTCACTTATTAGTCAGGAGGGAATTAAGCCTGTCAGGACAGGGCAAAGTGTTAGATGCCCAATCAGCTTATCTTCAGATGGTATTCCACATCACACTATTGTTTAAAGGTGATGTGGAAGCCAAGGAGCATCTTTGACTTTCCTTTTTGGGGGCTCAGACAGTTTAACTTTTCAAAAATTTCATATTTGGGGGGAATTCTAGAAGGAAGAGGAAAGCTCAATTAACTGAGTGATTGTAAATGTAAGTTGAAATAAATTTTTACAATATGTATACATAGTGTGGAGCCCTGGTGGCACAGTGGTTAAGAGCTTGGGTGCTAACCAAAAGGGTGGCAGTTCAAATCCACCAGTTCTACTCTGGCCTATAGGGTCACTATGAGTTGGAATCAACTGGACGCCAACGGGTTTGGATATATAGTGTAGAAGTCCCTGGGTATGCAAATGGTTAAATGCTCAACTACTAGGATAAGGCAGAATCGACTTGATGGCACATAACAACAACAACTAGCAAAGGTTGGAGATTCAAACGAACCCAGAGGTGCCCCAAAAGACCAGCCTGGCGATCTGCTTCTCAAAGGTCACAGCCTTGAAAACCTTATGGAGCAGTTCTACTCTGCACACATGGGGTTGCCCTGAGTCAGAACTGACTCAACAGCAACTAACAACAACATACACAGTGTGGTAAGCTGAACAGTGGCCCCCCAAAATGTCTGTGTCCTAATCTCTGGAACCTGTGAATGTTATATAGCAAAAAAGACTTTGAAGATATGACTGGAAAAGGATCTTAATTGGGGGAGATTGTCTTGGCTTATCTGGGTGTGCCCTACATGCAATCACAAATGTCTTTACAAGAGGGAGGCAGAGGGATATCTGACAGACAAAAGAGAAGAGGCCATGTGATTAAGCAGAGTCAGAGTGAGAAAATGCTATGTCTCTGGCTTTGAATATGAAGGAAGGATAAATATGAAGACAAGGAATGCAAAGAATGCAGCTCTAGAAGCTGGAAAAGGCAAGGAAATAAGTTCTCCCTTAAACCTGTTCTGGGAACCCTGGTGGCATAGTGGTTAAGCACCATGGCTGTTAACCAAAAGGTTGGCAGTTCAAGTCAGCCAGGCGCTCCTTGGAGACCCAATGGGGCAGTTCTACTCTATTCTATAGGGTCACTATGAGTCAGAATTGACTCCATGGCAACGGGTTTGTTTTTTTGTGGTTTAAAGCCTTTGGAGGGAGCTTGGCCGTGCTGACACCTTGCATTAGAATCATTTTAAACTTTTGGCTTCCAGAACTGTAAGACAATAAATTTCTGTTGTAAGCCACCAAGTTTGTGATAATTTGTTACAGCAGCCATAGGAAACTAATACATATGTATGAATACTTTTATTTAAATTTAAAAATTTAACTCACTCTCTCTCTGTTGTTAGTTACCATTGAGTAGGCTCTGACTTGTGGCAACCCTATGTACAACAGAGTGCAGCTCTGCTCTGACACACATGGGGTTGCCATGACTGGGAATCAAACTGATAGCAACTGGTTTGGGTTTTTTTTGTTGTTGTTAGTGTCTTCCCAAACGTCCAAACCAAGCGTCTATGTGTAATACATGACCACTCTCTTTCTCTCTTCTGCCCCCACATTAATCAGTACCAAGGCCAACTAATTTTACTTTCTGTGTATTCCTCTGGACCCCTAGTGGCACACTGGTTAAGTGCTGAGCTGCTAACCAAAACGTCAGCAGTTCAAATCCACCAGCCACTCTGCAGGAGAAAGATGTGACAGTCTACTTCAGAAAAGACTTACAGCATTGGAAATCCTATGGGGCAGTTCTACTGTCCTACAGGATTACTATGAGTTGGAATTGACTCAATGACCAGGATTTTGTTTTGTTTTTTTTTAGTTTTTGATGTATTCCTCTAGCCCTATCACATTTTAGTTTCAAGCCCCATCTTGTCTGGATAGTTCAAGTCTTTCCCCATCCTCTACACTGCAGGTAGAAGAATCAACTACATTGAAAATCGGCCCATGTTACTTCCTGGCTTAAAGTCTTTCAGTCAAGGTCCACAGCCTTCAGCATGACACCCAATATCCTCCATGACAGGACCCATACCTGTCCATCCAGACTCTTCTTCCACAGACTCACAGCTTAAGTTTCCTCTCCTGTCAAACTTCTTGTGTTTCCCTAGCAATTTCTGGGCCTCCTGCCTCTCGTCTTTCTTTGCTACAACACCTTTCCCCCTCTCCTCACTGAACTAATTCACAGCCACTTTCTTCCATTTGGCTGAGGCATCAGCTCCTCTGTTAGGCCTCCCCAGTCCTCAGTGTTGTCATGGTACCCTGGGAACAGGTCAGTGCCTAACAGGTGTTATTGAAGTTAACTAGTTACGTTTCTCCCTTCCCACTAGCCTGCAAGCATGTTGACGGCTGGGACAACTTCCAAAGTAATTTTGGTATCTGCAGCACATAGCACATAGTAGGTGCTCAATTAATGTTGACGAATTAAACTGATTAGTAATAAACAGTTTTGCTGATGTGTTATATCCACAATCTACAAAACACTTAGAGCCCGCTCTGGTTTCTGACCACCATCATCTTAATAATTACACATCTTGACGTCAGAAACGAATGACATCCTGATGAAAAGGAATACCTCTGGGGTTTTACATTAAAATTTTGACTTGTCATTTACTTTAGTATGGCCTGTTTTGGGGGAGTCTTTTGATCTTGATCTTGGGACTTCCCATCTCTATTGTCCTAATATGTAGGGTTGAAATGTAGCAGTTTCTTAAATATATTTCGCACTACATTCACCACAGAGTTTACCAGATTTGACCTAAAATTAGACTTGCCTGCAGCACTGCGTTGCTACTTCAAGTTCGACTGCTCAATGCCTACTGTCAAAATGGTTCCAAGATCCATTATATGACAATGCTTCTCCCCTTCGAAAGGGGAGAGATAAAGAAAACCTGGCTAAACATGTGACATGGTGGAGTTCTTAAACTTGCCCAGGTTCTGTACCAACTATTGTTACTTGCCCTTCCCATCGGTCTCAAGGGCCCAAGAGTAGCCCCTGGAACCTGCTGAAGCTAGCAGCTTCCTGGCGAGGCCACCTTTCCGCAGGAGACACACCTGCACCCGCCATGCCCCCGTGGCCCTCGCCGCAGAAGCCGCCTCTGGGGCACAGCTCAGCCCAGATCACGTGCCCCTGTCCAGTCCACCGCCCCCGGGCCCAGGCCCGCCCAGTCAGCCGGGCAGAGGCCGCCCGGATCAAGCACGCCCCGGCGGCCCGGGCCGGGCCCAGCCAATGGGCTGCCGGCGTCCGCATGACCCGCGCCGGCAGGAGGGCTTGAGAAAGCCGGCAGGGCGCGCACGCTGCCGGGCTGTATCGTCACCCACGCTGCCGCCGGGACTGGAAGTGAGCCGCACGGGTCAAGAGTGCGAGCGAGACAGTGAGTGGGTCCCGCTGCCGCCCGTACCCGGGGCGAAGCATGGCGGCCGCCAAGGTAAGCGTCTGCCTCTGCCCGGGGGAGCGCGCCGGTTGAACCTGCGTCAAGGGGCACGAAAGGCTTGGGCGTACACGTGCAACAGCAAAAGCAAATAAAAAGGGCCGCTCAACCTTGCAGCTGCAGGAGGAGGGACGTGACCACCCCTCCTGGGCAGCACACGCGGCCGGTGCCGGGGACCGAGGCCTAACCTTTCATCAGAAACTTTGCCGGCCTGACCCTCCCACTTGGCCCAGTAGGGGAGTCGGTGCCCGACGGGTGCCTGGCGGGATTGAGCCAAGGCCGGCGAGGAGGAACGGGTATGATCCGTGCCTGGTGCTCCTTGGGTGCAGAGGGCTCGGTGTCTGCAGGTCCCTCGGACACCCCAGCGCGCTCCTGTTCCTGACCCCGGTTGTTGTTGACCGACGTTTCTTCTTCCAGGGGGCACAGCCGGGGCTGAAGCCTGATCCTATTAGGTTCCAAGGGCTCCGCCCTCTGGCGGGTGGAAGTCACCTTGACTTCCGCTTTAGAAACTGCCTGGGGGACTCGGCCTGCATGTGTGTGCGCGCATAAAAGCTCCAGGGACCTCCGTTTTCTGTATTTTCCCCTGCTGCTCATTTGACAACGCTTACATACCCACCTTGGAGCGTTTGGGAGGCTTCTCTTTGGAAATGACAAAACAGATTGTCCTGGGAGCCTGTCGTTCCTGTGTAGTTCTGAAAAGGAATTCTGCGTAATGTGAATTATTCACGAACCCAGAGAAAAGACAACTCAGATACGTTGACCTTTTCTCTTTCACCATTTCTTGAAACCTGCACACCATTTCAATCTTCTTTTGGACTCCATTTCAACTTTTCTGGCAGAATACCATATTTAGACCCAATCACTTGAATCATTGGAACTTATTGCTTTTAATTTTAAGTTCACGAAGGCAGCCCTTTAATCAAGCCTATACAACTTCTTAGCTCATTTTAAGCAAAGTGAACTTAAATATACTCAACATTTCAAACATTTGTCCTTAATCAGAACTCTGTGATAACCCTCAAGAGGAAAACATGGCCAACACATCATATTCCTATTTATTCAAGCAAACTAATCACATTTGCAATGGAAATTGTAAGCAGACAAATATATTTAAATGCTCTTGTATGACTGAAGTCTCTGCAGGCTGGCCAGGCTCCCAAAATCCTCAGGGTTCTTCATGTTCCTGGACTATGTGGCTTTTACATTTTCTGTAATTTCTGAGTTCCATCTTTAGGAGTGTGCTCTGAATGTGTGTGAATGTGTACACACAGGTATATATATAATACAATTGTTTTACCCAGGTTCTCTTAGGATCACTACCCAGGATTCATTTTTGGAAGCTAAAAATTTAATTTTGCATTAAATTTACATACAGTCATTTCTCAAGGTTTATTATGAATTAGTTCCCCGAGGTGACTTATTCTAGTAGAGTTCAGTGGAAATAGGTACACATATGTCATTGTCATTTTTTTAGTACCTGCAGGTGAGCTAAACAATTTTTTTACTCAATTTAGAGATAAAGTACGTGAGGAACTGAAATTGAGTATGCATATAAATGGAGTATAAGAGCAATCGATCAGCTAATATGAAGCAAAAATAAGTGATGTGGAAGTAGGTTTAACTTTTCGGTTGTATTTTTATTAAACTGTCACGTTATATCAAGAAGGGCAGCTGATATCTAGCCAAGTAGAGAGAGTCAGGGGAAATGAAATATTTTATTTTTACTATTTGGAAGCTTGCATTTTTGTTTAGTCATTTAAACTCACCTCTTTTTGGAAAGGATTTCTGATGGTGCACGTCATCTGTACACATATTTACAATCCAACAAGACATATCAAAATCAAGTCTGACTAGATGAGAAAAACAGGATAAAGAAAAATGAAGCCAGGACTAAGGTTAGTGGAAGATACGTGTGTGTTTGCTAGAGGTAACTGAATTTTCTAGCAGCCAAAGCAAAGAGGAAACGATCAGTAAGGTGGTTCGCAAGTCAGTTACTTGGGAGAGAGGTCTCCTCGTACTGCTGAGACCAGTTTCTCCCCATGTCCCGTATGCTGTATGAAACTGCCTCATTGACCACAAATGTATGTCTGTGGGGTCCATAAGGCCATTCCTTATAATGTTCCTCACTGTAGCTCAGGGGCAGTACGGTAAACGTAGTCTTGAAAGGTCCACAAATGAAGCTGTGCTGGCCTAGTTTAGTCTAAGAATACTTCTTATTGAATTGCATTTGGGCACCACTCTTGTTGGGTACTTACTGTCAGATAGTAATTAGTCCCCCAAGTAGTCAAGTTAAAGGCTGTGCTCCTTGCCTTTACTTGGAATGTAAATATTCAATGTTGACGGTTAAACACAAAAATCTCCTCACCTGGTTGTAGGTTTGTCATTCCCTCTTAAAAGTTGAGGAACCTGACTAGGAGAGAAGTTCACGTCATTGGGGTGTCGAAGAAATTGGGCCAACAATCTGGAGACTCAACTATTGTAGGCTAATTCCAACACTCAGTATACTTGTGGTGAATTGAGTATTTAAGCAGACTTGATATTTTCTGGTTGGACATACCCATAGCTAGCAATTTCTATATCTCTGGACCATTTATTCTTAGTTTCCTTGGGCTTTATATTTATTCAGGTGTAACTAATTATTGAAGTCCCTCTTCCTTTAAATAGTTAAAATAGGAAGGCTGAGAATCCAGTCTTTGGTTTGCTTTTTATTTTCATTTCGGCCATGAAGATTATTACTTAAAGTTGCAAGAGGAATTTATTTTTTCATGAAGTAACATTGACCTAAAACCATTAGTGTTTTTCAGATTAACTTTGTATTAAAATAAGTTTTAAAAAAGTTTCTTTTACATAGCTCTAAAAACATCCATTTTTGAAAAGTAGTGAGAGAGAAGTGTCCTCTTCCTTTCCTTTTTGATTGTAGGGAACATTCTGTCTTTGTAACTGTCCATTAGTGTACATTAAGAATGATGGAATTAAATATATGAAGTGGTTAAAAGTTAGAGGATGCTTAGTTGAGTTCAGGCATAATAGATGTTCAGGCATTAAATTGGACATGGACCAGAAATTTGATTGAAATTAGCTCAGAGCAAAAAAAAATTTTGTGACAAAGCTTTAATAATAATGAAAATTTAGTCTGTAAGGGTAATACATTTTGTATTGATTTTCCATTCTCAGATGAGTCGTTGCTATTATTATTGATTTATTTAGAATTGTATATTGCACTTTCTAATGTTCTAGGCATGAGGCTAAAGTGAGGATAAAAAAAACAAACCCACTGCCATCAAGTCGATTCCGACTCATAGCAACCCGACTCATAGCAACCCTGTAAGACAGAGTAGTACTGTCCCATAGGATTTCCAAGGCTGTAAATCTTTATGGAAGCAGACGGTCACATCTTTCTCCTGTGGAGCAGCTGGTGGGTTCAAACCACCGACCTTTCAGTTAGCAGCCGAGTGCTTTAATCACTGTGTGACCAGGGCTCCTTAAAGTAAGTATAGTAAAATGAATTAGATTCCATTTAGACCTTCAGGAAAACCAGAACCGCACCATGGGCTGAGTTCTCTGATGGAAATGCTCTACTATAGGGCCTTTTGGAGTACCAGGAAGGGAGTGAGGGGAGATCAGGGAGACTTCTTGGAGGTGGTGGTATTTCAGAATGGATCGGGAAGAGGAAAGATCCATTCCAGTGACAGGGAACACACAGCAAATGGAAGGCAGGAAGGGGAGCATATGCCATATTTAGGAATGTTGTTGTAAGGTGCTTCTGACTCATGGTGACCCTATGTACAACAGAATGAAACACTGCCCAGTTCTGCAACATCCTCACAGTCATTAACTCTGTTTCAACCCACTGTTGCAGCCACTGTGTCAGTCCATCTCACTGAGGGTCTTCCTCTTTTTCGCTGACCCTCTACTTTGCCAAGCATGATGTCCTACCAGGGACTAGTCCCACCTGATAGATGACGTGTCCAAAGTATGTGAGAGGAAGTCTCACCATCCTCGCATCTAAGGAGCATTATGGCTATACTTTTTTCAAGATAGATTTGTTCATTCTTCTGGCAGTCCATGGTATAGTCGATGTTCTTTGCCAACACCGTAATTCAAAGGCATCGGTTCTCCTTTCGCCTTCCTTTCCCGTGTGTATGAGGCAATTGGAAATACTATGGCTTGGGTCAGACCCACCTTAATCCTCAAAGTGACATCTTTGCTTTTTAACACTTTAAAGAGGTCCTTTGCAGCAGATTTTCCCAGTGCAATACATTATTTGATTTCTTGATTGCTGCTTCCATGGATGTTGATTATGTATCCAAGTAAAATAAAAGCCTTGACAACTGTCTTAGTCATCTGGTGCTGCTATAACAGAAACAAGTGGATGCCTTTAACAAAGAGAAATTTATTCTCTCACAGTCTAGGAGACCAGAAGTCCGAATTCAGGGTGCCAGCTCCAGGGGAAGTCTTTCGCTCTCTGTCGGCTCTGGGAGAACGTCCTTGTCATCAATCTTCCCTGGTCGAGGAGCTTCTCAGCGCAGGCACCCCTGGTCCAAAGGACACACTGTTCTCCTGGCTCTTGTTTCTTGGTAGTATGAGATCCCCATGTCTCTGCTGACTTATCTTAAGAGATTGTTTTAAAACACAACCTAATCTTGTAGACTGAGTCTTGCCTCATTAACATAAATGCCGATAATCCCACCTCATTAACATCATAGAGGCAGGATTTACAGCACATAGGAAAATCACATCAGATGACAAAATGGGGGACAGTCACACAATACTGGGAATCATGGCCTAGCCAAGTTGACACATTTTTTGGTGACACAATTTAATCCATGACAACAACTTCAGTATTTTCTCCCCTTATCATGATGTTGCTTATTGGTCCATTTGTGAAGATTTTTGTTTTCATTATGTTGAGATGTAATCCATACTGAAGTCCGTAGTCTTTGATCTTCATCAGTAAATGCTTCAAGTCCTCTTCACTTTCAGCAAGCAAGGTTGTG